GAATCATCGCGTAGCGACAATTGTTTATTTTAGGAGTACCTAATGGCTGCACCCAAGACGTAAGATGCAGTTCGTTACAAAATAGCCTTTGGCCACAGCAGGAGACATAGCGATATGTACAAACAGATGGGTACTTGGATGACAGCCATGCTAGGTCTTAAGCATTTAGAAAACAGTGCGCACAATGTTTAGAAAGCCGCATATTTGACAGTGAGCAGCGGGACTTAGTTGATATAGAATGGTGGTAGTTGTTTCTTCAATGAGGCCGTAAGCGGCGAAAATGTGGTACTGACACCCGTCAAGGCTTAGGGTTGCGTAACAATCGTACCTCCGGCAGCAGACGATCGGTGACAAGGAGCGACTGAAGTGAACACTCAACCGCAATCGCATGGTGTGCGATCCTCCACCTCAGCTGCGTAAACCTGACCGTGTACATAGGAGGTGACACTTAAGCACAGAATATTTTACCGTACCACTTGTTTATTAATCATTTTGCCTGGTAACCGTACTGATTTCAATTGCGTCCCTTTTCTTACATCGGTTTCGTACAAATATGGATACCCAAGATTTGGGGCTGCCATGTCTAAATGTTAAAGAAGACATCAACAATTCCTCTTGGATACTTATTCCCATGCATGTGCAATTGGCTGTTAGCCTGACCTGCAAACGAAACCCATACACGTTGTTAGTACTTTTGTTCATGAGGCTTAATGTGTCGATCCAGTTTGTGGCACTTCGTATTTAAGTCTGGACAAGCGTATGTGCATATGTTGCATTCGAACTGCCATTGGACAGGGATGACGTCAATACATGTATATCGAATGAATTCGATGAGAATACTCATAGACCTTTTGTAGGGCCAACTTAGTGCGGGAATGTGACATTTGGACAAACCGAAAAGAACATTACCAGAACATAAACAAGGTGAGTTAATGGCAAACTAATTTTGATTTTTGTTGTTGCCAATCCAAGACAAATTTGATCGATGCGATTTCCGTGGACTGATCAAAGGGGCTGTTGCCCAAGTGCAGGAAAAGACATTATTGCACGAGGAACAGAAACACGATGAGTATGCTCGCGTTCGATTTACTAATCCAGACCAATAAGGCGGTGTATGTGGTGCATTTGCCTGCGTGTTAAGTGATCTTACATTTCAGAAGTAGATGCTGTTTGAGCTCCCTTGTGTTCTGTGCCTGATGTGAATGTTGACAAGGTACCTACTGTCTGGTATCCCCCATCTCTGTTACTGGCTCCAGCAGACAGCTGGTTGTTGCTGTAGGGGACGGGGTGCACCGTCTTCCTGACGGTGCTAGGCTCAAAGAGTGGTTCCATCCTGTGTGGAACGGGCTCCAACCTTGTGTACATTTGGTGTGCATGCTGTACCAATTAGGGCAGAACCCTTCTGTTCTGCTTGTTGAATGAATGTGGGCTGGCTCCGTTGGTGAAACGTAGCTCCCATCCACATGCCTCCTGGTCTTATTCCTTCGGGTTTACACCGGATATGGGGTGCGGGTGGAACTGTGGGTGGGGCAGCGCAAGCCTTCCATAGTCCCCTTTGTAGGCGCAGGCGTTCTGTGGCTGTCCACATAGTGGTCACAGTGACAGTCAAATCCGGATGCTACATTCATTGGTTGAACGAGCTTGGAATACTGGGAAAAGAGGTTGGCGAGATCTGGGGAGAGGTGTAGTTCATAGCTCCAACAGGCTGTATGCATTTTCAAAAGGACCTCGACAAGATTCATGACTGGTCAATCCACAATCGTCTTCAGTTCAACGTACGTACATGTGGGGTACTCCGCCTACAACACCAAATGCTTCACACCTATAAGTTTGGCGACGACCATCTCCAACACGTCCTTTGGAAAACCATCTCGGTGCACTAATTCGAGAAAACCTAGGCTGGTCGGAGCGGTTTGCGCTAGCACTGAAAAATGGCTATTTTTGCAAAGCTGATTTCCGCATGCATATGCCAGCATGTGGAATATGCAATCCAGGAATGGATGAAGCAAGATCTCATGGTGTTGGAAATTTCCCAACATCAGGTCAATAATTATGTCAAAGGACAATGTCACTTACTTAGGAGTCTTCGGAGAACACTCTCGGTGTTTGCTCGGGGACCTAATCATGAGCACCCTAATCACTCGTGCTATCGCCGTTTGAAACTCAGTCATCATAATAGACTACGATGCCACGGACGCAAACTGGCAGCCGGTTGGATTGTATACGGAATCTCTTCTCCCTACCTGTTTGCCACATTTGTAATTCACTACCAGAACCTGTTATCTCCGCGTCTACATTCATTGCGTTCAAACCTAGCGTCGAGAATGCGGTATTCGCGTTACACCAAATTACTCCACACCTGAATGATACTCACACTCAGAAAACAGAACTGTGTCAACCCACACTTGTTTCTCTGGGGAAAACGAAAGCGGACATTTGAAGTCGCATTAAACCACTTATGAAGGATGTAGGTGAACAAAACACTGCTCGGCTGGTTCACTGTTTTCGGTTATTCTTTGTGTATGGCTGTTATTCCATTTCTTCCGAAAAACTCCACTCAACATCTTGTCGGACATGTAAATCCTAAGCTTATTTCTCCGCACGAAACCACTGGCCATACTCCTTATTTCTGCAGAACCGTAGTACACCGCTTGACAAGACCCTCAATTTCGCCATATCAGCTGCCAGTAATCTAATCCCTTCGCGACAAATTATTGCAGGTTTGCGTAGTTGCAGAACGAGGAGGAAAGTAATATACTTTACGGTCTAACATCTCGTTCGAAAGGAATTTGCAAGGCTAGAAGCAAACATGTATCAAATGCCCAATCAATCCCTCCATTGGTGATTACATCATACCGCCCGCGAGCTGTTCTGTCTCGATGAGATTTGACCTGTGTGGTTCCTATGCGAGCGAATTGGTTGGAATATGATTATCTACCCCACTCTCAGCTTATACCTGAGGATCCGTCACAAAGTGATATTTCATCGCATAAAGCAAAAGGTTAGGTGGAGTGAATTGTATTTACTCCGCTGCGACGGATATGATTCCGCTACCTACGTTACTGTCAACTTGACTTAGAGATCAGACGGTAGCGTGTATTGCGTCCCTAACAATCCGATCGAAGGTAATCTATCCGCACCGCTTGCATAGAACGCTTTGGAGTACCAAGATAACGTTGTCCACTCGGGTCCTCCGTGCACCAACTGCGCCCTAGCCTCAAACAGACATATCCTTTCCTCGCTCAAAGTAGGGGCCTGACTACGCCCCCGACTCACTTCAGGCTTCAACCCGATGTTTCGGATATGATCTCTGTGTTGACCTTGCCTGCGCGCTCTAGCACATATCTTTGACACCCCCATTGTCGAGTGAGAGGGCGCGGCACACTGTTCAATGGCTTAGGTCCGGTTAGTAAGGTCCCGATCGTCGTCCATAAGATTTGGATCACGCTGGTCTCACCTAAATCAAACAGTTTTCCTACCTCCCTCCAAAGGCGTGAGCATGCAGAGTTGTAGGTTTAGTCGCTACGATATGCCAGATCCTATTGGCTGCTAGCCATTGCCCAAGTAATACGATGATGGATGCAAATCTGGCGAGTATCGGATGCTAGGTGCTGCACTACGGATGATAGCTGACCCATAAGAATGAAAGCGACTGCTTTAAGGATGCTAGCAAGTGAGAAATGGTCTAGTTTCGCGGACATAGTACGAAATAGTGTGCGTTGACTACGCACTCCGTTTTAGCGTCACGTGCAACTTCACGGCTAATCTAACGCGACAACGGAGTGAAAATCTATTACAATATCCCCGTGGCATACAGGGTACGCGATTCGAAGGAGTGAATAAGACAAACGCATATGAACCTGTACGTTCACTACACTTTGCGCATCAATGCACGAGGGAGATTTACTGTTCAAACGTTCGCTTGGTATCGTACAAAGATACGGCCAGTTATTTAAAGATGTAAGTAAACGAATAAATATGTATTTCGACGAAGCGAAGCACGCCTACACAATCATGATCATTAGGTTAGTTAGTTCAGTCAAGGGCTGACACTGAGGAGAATCTGTCATCAGCAAACCGCCTCTCTATTGCCGAAAGGATATTGCGGTTGAGCGAGTTCATGGCGCCTTCATCAGCCGATTTCCCGATGGAGCTTGAAAAATACGTACGGACAATTGCTCCCTAAGGTTGCCTACTTAGTCGGCAACTGAATAAGCTGTCTGCCATTTCAGCTAGCTAACAATTAGTGAACATCCTCTATGGTAATAATCGCGGAGCAAACATGATCATTCCCACTGACTACTACGACACAGTCGGTCATTTTGGAAAAGAATATGAAAAGGAATGATAGTTTTCACACATTGCGGACATTTTGGAGTCGATTTTATCAACAACTAAGTAATCTTCATCATCGCAATGCGTCTTGTGCAGGAAGAATAATCGTCAGCTACTCTTTGTATAGTGCACATCGCTCTGCGAGTGATCCTCCAGGATGTTCTCATGAAGTAGGAACGCAAGCATGTGGTAACAAGTTTTATTCGATTATGCAAACCTCGACGGTATTGCAATTGCAAGCAAGCAAGTTTCCTTCCGTTTGTTGGAGGAGCGTGTAAGAAAGTTTCCGGATGTAGATGTATTTTGGAGTTAGTTAGCCACCCATATCCACATGTAAAAGTGAGATAACAAGATGAGTTCCTGGGAAACACGGCGTTAGACATAACAACACAGAATCATGATCTGTTCGAGGTGTAGATAGAGATCCCAGTAAAAAGGAAAAAGTGAGGGTATTGTTATTACTCACATTTGAGAACAGAAGAAATCAAACAAGAATGAGACCAAGCCCAGAGTGGCGGAATAATTAACAATCGAAATCTCCTGAATAAAGTGAATTCAACACATCAATGACGGTATGCGGTTGGGTACCCGATTGCGTCCGAGGGAATGGTGTATGACGTCGCTGGTCCTAAGAAAGTGCACTGGTGTCAGGCATGGAGTGAAAGGTGGCCCATCATTCTGCCTAAATCGACCAAAAGCATCTGATGCGTTGTGCTCATGCAGGCAGAGACAATTTGGATAAAACGTAGGTAAGGTATATCAAGTCAGAATTACACATCGGCTTGTGTGTAGTGGGAGTTGCAAATAGATTCAGTTTTCACAACTAAAACCATACGGTAGTAGTTGAAACCTTCCACGGAACAAAAGATCAGCCATTTTATCGCAAAAGGGTTTATCACAAAATACGGCCAAAAATCTACATATGTATCAAAAGGGGGAATGTAAGTTGTGATGTGGGACAAATACAGAGTTAAACAACGGGTTCCAGGCTTGAGTATGTGAATGAACAACTCTTCTTTTCGTCTGTAGATCCCTCTGCAAAAGAAACAATTGCAGATAGACAGAGTGTGTGAAGCAAGCAAAAAGGGCAAACTATGGATGATCAGTGGTCGAAACGCACATCGCATATTGCAGACTGCCACTTAGTGTGTAGCAATTTGCAAGTTATCCTCCCGGTGGTGTACAGTTATCGCGATGAATTAAGAGATCATCATACACGCGATATCCATGCAGTTGAGATAAGAAAGTGTCAAGCAAGCGGGCGGGTTTCAGGGCTGATCACTGCAAACACTGCACTGTAGTGCAGCAGCGTACCGGCACAAGAAAAAAAGTTGAAACTAGCTGTAAAAGGCTTCATCATCATGGCACAGGTTATTAAACAATGAGAAAATTTTAGCTTGTGTAACGCAATACAACTCAATTAGATGGGAACAAAAGCAAGAGAAAAATACCGTGTCTTATCTTTATTACACAATACGATGTTGATTGCAGGTCAGTAACAGAGGAGCTCATCACACGTCAACACAAAAGCACCACCAAACAGACGTATATATACCATCTGGAATCCAAAAACCGGAGTCTGGAGGCACAAACTGAGGCCTAAAGGATCACAAAATGGTCCTGCAACCCAGATGTGGCGGATTCGACACTGCGTAGGGAACCGGGCTACCCTCGCAGTATCCTTAAACCAAGCGCAATTGGTAGTAGGTGCGCGGGATCAGAGCATCGGTATTGGTACTGCCGTACTACTGATACAATTTTTAACCTCGAAGATAAAGCGTTCATTCCTACGGAACGAGTTGATAGCTGACCTCGTCACGTCTTCTTACAGTCAAATCCCGGACAAACAGCGTAAAAAAAACAAAAGCAAACACGCCGACTCGGTAACATTCCGTCTATCAGCAGGAGACCAAAGCGTGAGAGCAAGCGCACTAGTGAAAGAAGGAGTGGCTAAGCAACGGTCGGAAACTTGCATGAATAGGATCCAACTACAATACCGTATTACACAACACTGTGCCGCAGGCAATTTACCTGTGAATCGTTGATCTCGCCGCAGGTGCGCATACGACGGGATAAAATCGAACCAATCGGAAAGAAACAAGAAGTTCCCGGACAAGGAAATCGGAAGACGTAGTTTTTGAGATGAAGACGCCATTTCATATATTCTTAGCAACTAGAAACCATGTAGTAATGCCAGAGAAATAAACAATCACAATGTCATATGACTTAACAAATAGCCAGGCGTTTGCGCTACAAAGGTTGACTTAAAGTCACAGCAAGTTGTGGACCAACGGAATCAAAAGAAATAGAACTCCATGGACTCGGTCATTGAACAAATAATGCATAGAAGTCAATCTACGTGGATCCGCTACCGACTGATGTTCCTCACCATTTGTATCAAAAGAGGGACCCAACAGACCAAAAAAAACCGTTGTCCGTGAAAGTGGTTGAGCCTTCCTAAAGGACAAACTAGTTGCACATTTTTTCTCGAGAACCTATGCCGGATAGACTCGCAACGTGAGAACATAGAGTGTTGGAACCAACAAGAGAGTGCTCCAATGTCCATTCGATCTTGTGATAATGCAACTCCAGATGACGAAGCGAAGCCTCCATTCTCTGGCTAGAACCCCATTACTGCACCACAACGACGACCAACTCGTGGAAGACCGGATGTGCTGGAATTTCAGTTGTCTGGCTAGAAGTAGGCGTGCGATTGGTTTTTAGCTGAACAACGGATGTGCTGATCGATTTTTCTAGAAATAAATTCAATTGGCGCTGCATACAAGACCGTTCCTGTAGTCGATAGTACAGGAAAGCAAAATGATATACGACGCTCAATCACTCCACTTTAAACTAGCTGGTATGAGAGGTAGGAAATTTCGCACAAGCGTATCCAGATTCAACGTGAAAACACGCAATGTTGACTCCGATGAAATGTGCGTAGGCGAGTAGTAGGTAGTGATAATCATGTTATTTCCTTTGAGCAACAGACGGCACTGAACAAGTTGCGTTGGCTCGGGCACGTGCTACGTATGCCTGGCCACCGCTTACCTAGGAGGGCCTTGTTTAGTCTGCCAGGTGTAGGGCGGCGCAAGGCTCGAGGTGGACAGAACTTGACTTGGCAGCGGAAAATTAAGTTACTGGCGACCAAACTGGGTGCCGTTGGTCCGTCTCACCTTTCGGGCTGGAGTCCATGTGACTCGCCTTGTGCTTGGCTCGAGACTTTACAGGACATGACTCGCAACCGACACCAGTGGCGCGTTTGCTGCCGTCTTCTAATCGGAGTGCCTGTTTAAAGTGCGTTTGGTGCTGAGTTATCTGCGGGGTAATGTCCGATTATGACGCGGGTCAGTGAAGGCCGAAAGGAAGCTGTCTTGCCGATGGCGCCTTATTTTTGCACGATAGCTAGCAGTTTGCGACGGTATGTTAACTATACAAGGTGTAGGCGCCTTGACCCTGAATGTTTGCTTAGGGCATTAAGGTTTTCAGGTAAGTTTGCCTTCTCTCCCTCTTATTATATTTTACTTCATAGAGCTGTCGCTCCACTGGGTTTACAACAATGTTCAACTAAGAAATCGCGAGTGTCCAGATACATAAAATGTTGGTCCCAGTGTATCTACGTTGAATTCAGAGAAAACACTTCTTTTCGACAAATATTCTGAGGCAACAATATTGCTACCGGCACCCAGTTCCTGATTTCTGTGTCACTGAGACTTCCACAGAACGTCTGACCCAACAGATGGACCACAGGTGGCTTGCCAGTGTAAAACCGAAGGGCCCGTGGATGAGAGCCACGTTTCATCCACGAAACAACCCCACACTCCTTCAACAGGCAGAGCAGAAACATTTAGGCCTAAATCCGAAATCATGCGTACCAGACGCAGACAAAGCGGTGGTTAAACCGCAGCTCGTTCCACAATGGATGAAACGAACCATTCTTTAAGCCTAGCACTGCCAGGAGGACAGTGCATCCCGTCCCATCCAGCAGCGATCAACTGTTTCCTGGAGCCAGTATAGGCGAGGTGGTTGATAGACAGGTAAGTGCCTTGCCAACATTCACATCAAACACAGCCAAACGGGGGATATCAAACAACACGCAGGCACAAACTGCAACACACATACAAACTGCAACGACGAGGTAACGCACATTACACGAACCACCTAATTGGCCTGAGTTAGGAAATCGAATGGAACCGGACACAGCTCACCTACCAGTGCCTGTGTTGGTTACGATTATATAATCAGTTGGCTCGTGGTCTTTTGGACACTAGCCCCACGTGGCTACGCCGGCGGCTTACCAAGCCCACTTGGCTGAGGCACTCGCAACCACATGTGCTAAAAAACCATGGGCTCGACATCCATGGCCTAGAATCCATCGGCGCCTGTTGCTTCCGCACCTGCCGTTTCCCTTCGGCATGTAATAGTGCTTTCTGCTGCACCTAACAAACCGCCCTCCTGACCAGCTAAAGCCAATCGCGCGGATCAGCTGCCTTTGATCTCTAACACCTGACATAAACATTCGTTCATGATAAAGTCATCGTGATCATGTTTTGGAGACGTAATCTCGAGTTTTCCAAGTGTCTCTTTTCTGCACTAAGTTGACCATAAAATATATTTTTGGATAGCCTCCTCGAATCCATTCGGCTGCAAAGCCAGAGCCACCTCAGGTGCCGCTACAGATATCTGACGTCTTTCCGGCACTTCATACACGCTTCGCTGCCGGCAAGAAGAACATATAAAACCATCGATTTGCATACCAGCAGCTTTGTTCCAACAGTAAGCTGGTGGTTTGTCCATACACGCTTTCCAACTTTCCAAGCGTAGCAGACACTTTCGATACGCGGGCACGTTGCTCGTTCATCATCTGCCAATCGGTCGAAAGTACACTACCCAAGTAGCGAAATCTTGGAGTGGAGTCCAAGGTGTCATCACCGATACGTATTCGCAGCAAACATACAGATCCCATTTCTGGTGTACACTGAGATAGGTAGACAGTTTCCTTGGTGTTGATAGTGAGCCCGATTTTGGCCGCAGTTGAAGCGAAAACCGAAATCATGTGCTAAAACTCACCCGCGTTGTGCGTAAACAACGTAAAGTTGTCTGCAAACAGCAACATACAGCAACACACAAAGGTAATCGCCCTGAAACGACGGATGTTCAGCAAATCACCATGTACACCGTGCTTTACACGGAAATCGTAATCACAAGCACAGAATATCACTGAACGGAGGTAAATATTAAAGAAGTCAGGGGCTAAGACACAGCCTTGCTTCACTCTAGAGACAACAGAAAGGTCATCCGACGTTTGAAGCACTCAGCTGCACCCGCGCGCACATACCACTGTGCAGACAACTAAACTCACAAACTTATTCGGACAAGCAACCCTACCCAACACAAGCTACAATGCCTCGCGGTTCACCGTATGGGATGCATTGGTGAAGTCAACGAACAGTAAATACGATGGCTGATGTCTCACTCGGCATTCAACCTACAAATAACAAGGCGAGAACAATGTATAGCATTCTGATCCCGCCATCGCTCCGTAGATATTTACTGTAATACGCCCATCCATCTAAAATAGGGGTCAAATATAGCACCAACATGCCAGGCGGTCGAGTGTGCCCAGCCCATGAAAATCAGAGGATCATGGAACCAATAATGCGTAAGAAATTCCCCACTGCTGAATATCGAAATTACTCGAAACACTGTGAGCTGAGGTTGACCGCTCACGCGTAGACGTGCTCGTCGGGCTTGACAATTCGGGATTCGGTAGCAACTGAGGTGGCATCATTAGTGTGTAGCAACTTGACAGGTACGCTCAGTGATTAGTTTAGTTTCCAGGGATCGCTAACACGAGGGGAAAAGAAAACCTATGTAGGCGCAAACATGACCACATAAACCACGTCACATACAACGCGTAGCCCCAAGTGGTACAGAGAGTCCGATGGAATTCAGCAAAATAACTGTGAGCGCACCTAGAATAATGGAAAACATCTAACACTCTAAAACAAATACTCACTTAAATGCGCTGATTCAATGTGCCTTCTTAACACATTCAGCCGAGAAAAGCGTCTATCACAATGCTCGCATCTGTGTGGCTTCTTCTCTGCAATAGTAAATATAGCTATGTTAACAACAGTAAAAAAACCAAGAATGGGAGACAATCTAAACGAATTGCACGCGAATCGATTGATAACCAGAGCGATGTGCTGAAAATTGCAATCCCACTATGAAGTCAGAGTAGTTGCGTCAATTAAGCGGTTGTTCGGATGCATCTGATGGCGTTCGGGTGACCAAGACAAAAAAACAAGGTTGTGCGGTGAACGCGACTGCGAGAAGAGCGCACCTGGTTACGAACCACAGAATTTCAGATGGCTCCAAAGTGAACCAACTGTGATGCATGTGGAGAGTTATGCATAAGGAGGTAATATGGCGTTATGTCCCTGTTTAGAGCTTCCTAAACACTGTGTTTCTCGGAATCGCACTTTCTATCTGACCTACCTTCCATTGGCGTCACGTCGACGCAACACACACAGACGTCAAAACAGCTTCCATTTCCGTTAACACGCCAGTGCTCCAAAGCACGTGACAAGCATAGGCGAATGAGGAATCACTAAAAGTTTTCTGATTGATTGCATCAATAGTGCAATTTAATTGCTCCCCACGCATCTACTTTGCATCCGCAAACCAATTGAATATAGTCCTTAACGCGTTTGAATTGCATCCGGTATCTGTCCGGCGCACCATGCGCGCGCAGCGTCCCTAGAAGTAAGTCAGCCCAAATCAGCCAATGACGGTAGGTGTAATAGCCCTTGCATAGATGTATGAGTTGGTTGTGTGTGGTGATGCGTGCGCATTCTAGCCTTTATTCAGCAACGACCGCCTACTCTAAAGCCATTTAAACGCAGGTTAGGTGCACGTTGTCCAAATATGTGGTGTGACTGGGTACAGGGTTCAGTGGGTCACCATGTAAGTAAAGCACGCCTTGCGATCGCCGACGGTGGGATGGGACTGCGAACACAGTACTGAGACACCCCATCAACGATCTTATGGCTAGTTTGGCACTGGCGCAGCCCAAGATTTTGGGCGATTTACCGAAGCTCGGGCGTACGATGGCAATGTGTCCGGCTAACAGGACAGTCACAGGTACACGGCTGCGATTGATCGGGAGCGGTGGTGCTAAAGCCTTATGATGTGCTTACGAGTAAAGCGACAAAAGTGGCCTGCGCAATCGAAATACATGTTAAAATGTGGTCGACTTGGGTTACAGAGAGCCGTCTTAAGCCGCGGTCTGCTGAGATGGCTAATGCCGAAATACGACCGCGGCAATTTTGCTACAAGGCAAGTAGTTATCATCAGTATACACGTTAGCTAGAGGTAGGAAACACCTCACCTACTGTGCCGCAATACATAAAAGAAAAAGGGGAAGGGTACAACAGATGCAAGCCAGCTGTGCTATCAATAACGGATGGGCATCATTCCGGTAAGCTACCAGCCGTCAAGTAAGCAGTAAAAAATATTTACCATGCAAAATTATATAAGGCTAAATGGTGAGATCGTGGTTAGAGGGAGAGGCTAAGAGGGATGGGGTGGGACAAAGAAACTTACAGTATGAATGCCACTGAGGTCGGCTCCTAGCCATATCAACAAGTGTATCTAGCCAAACGTGTTCATCGTCTTTCAGGCCTCCAAAAAGGAGCCGAAACGCTCCAACCGAGGCCATTTCAATGCGAAGGTATTCATTCCTCTCGACAAAATCATGGCATAGACACTCCTACTCCTATCCCGTTAACACCGTAGGCGAGTAAACAACGCACTTCGCGGGAGTCGGTTATCTAGCATGCGTACCACCTGGCCGAGCAATCGGAGCCTGGTGCGTGAAATAAGGGTGCTGAGCGGTTCATTTCCTTTTCCTGTGCCGTAAACAAGGCGACGAACACACCCGTTGCCCACTCGGTGTTCCCACCAGATGCGAGCTAAATTGCGAAGGCACCGGTGGTGGAACGTATCTAGCCTCTTTATGTCCACTGATCTAAGGGGTCAGGCTGCACAACCGTACAGTAGGGTCGAACGTATCGCTGCATTGTACACTCTACCCTTCAGGGAGAGAGTGATGCCGCGCCGGCGCCATAAGTGACGAAGGCTAGTAAAAGCGTCTCGAGCTTTTGCAAAGCGGTTCGTGATCTCATCTTCAATCCCATGGGCTTTGATACAACGTCCCACGTAGTTGAATTCTTGAACGACTTCTAGCTGATCCCCACCAAGGGTCAGCGTAGGAGGCGGTCTAGGCCAATCCTGGAGGCACACTTTTCAATTCGATGGTAAAAAGCAAAGCCCGAAGTGATGGACAGCTGGTGCTAAGCTGTCCAGTGCCGTTTGGCACGTTTGTGAGCTGTCACTGATTGGGGCAATATCGTCAGCATAATCCAAGTCAAGAAGTCGTTCTCCTGGGACTAGATCCACATCTGCTAAGTCGTGTCCTGCGAACGCGATTTCTATGACTTTGGCAATAGCGAAGTTGAAGAGGAAAGGTGACAGAGGGCATCCTTGTCTCCACCGCTGGAGATATAAAATGGTGACGACAGCTTGCTGTAAGCCCTAACTCTGCCTGAGCTACGCGCGTATACTGATCGGATAATATTTACATATTTCTCAGGTACACCTTTCCTGAGTAGACAATCCCAGAGTCAAAGTCTATACACCGAATCGAATGCACCTTTGATAGCGAGGAACACGACAACGGTGGGCCGCCAATATATGGGACAGTGCTCTAACAACTGACGCAAAGGGAAGATGTGGTCAATGCAGCCACAACCTCGACGAAACCCGGCTTGCTCTTCACAAATATGGCTTTTACAAATGCCAGTCAGTCTGTGAAGGATGACAGAGGCAAGCAATATGGAGGCGATGGAGATTAGACGGATTCCTCTATGGTTGCCGTATTCCGATCGTGAGCCTACCTTGAAAATTGGGACTATGAAGGAGCGGCTACAGTCGGTTGGGACAGTTTCCTGCTCCCACAGTTTCACTAGGAACTCGTATAAATCATTCACAAGAGCAGGACCCAGAATTTGAAGAGGGCTGGAGGAAGATCCTGGTCCCGCGGCTTTATTTAACTTCTAAAGTCCGATCTCATATTCGACTTATGAGCGAGAGCGTGGTTCCAGAGAGACAGCCCAGGGAGCGGGGCGATCAGTGGCCGGCGAGAAATCTAACAATCCCGGCAGATTAAATTGCCTTCCAAATTGCTCAACCCAACGCTCCAAGCGTTTCGACTAGTTGTGGATAGGCTGTCCACCCTCGTTACGTATACTTTCACTAACATCAAGTCTCTTGCTGCCCGTTTTCTGTATCGGCCCAAAAATACTTACGATGGTTAACTAGGGTAGCGGCCATTTCCATCGCTGAAGCACGATGAGACAACCAGGATTCGCGGACTCCCTTCTGGATACCACGGAGTTTTGCCCGGAGCTCTTTGCGAGTTTCAGTGTGTTCGCTTCCAGCCGGAATATTCCGGTGAGCATCGATAAATTCCAGAGATTGCGAAGAGACCCCATGTCCACGTTGGCGATTAGACTTACCACATGAGGATTTTCCTGCTGTTAATAAGGTCTGGTGAATGTGAGACCAGTGAGCTTCAAGTGCATCCAGTGAGCGCTTACTCAACTCGCATGACAGTACTGTGATAAACATTCAGAACAGCTGGCTTCGCCAGTTGGTTGGTGTAAATGCGCTCACAACGTCGTCCTGGGCATCCGCCAAAACGCATCCGCAGGTCAGCACATACAAGTGCATGGTCGGTGCCCACACCTGTGTTCCAAACCGAGCGACAGTTCTGGACACAGCCTCTTCATTGATAACGTATCGCAATGTGATCGATTTGCGTCCATAGTCGATGGGCGGATGCTGTTTCGAAAACTAGTGCTCGCAACAAATAAGGGAGCATCCTCACACAAATGAAGTAACCACTCACTGTTAGCACTACGGGAGCCTACATCATGTTGGTCGCCCAGATGCAGTTCTTCAATGGGTAATTTTCCAACTTGAGCGCTCAGATCCCAAACTAGCACAACAGGCTCTGGGCTTCTTCTGTGGCGAAGCAGCTTGTTCAGTTGGTAATAGAAGTCGTCTTTTACCGAATCATCGCTAGAGTTTGTGGGTGCATAAGCAGAGATGACAAATAGACACATGTTAGTCCCATGCGGTTTCGAAGATTTGAACGAGCCAGCCAATCAGACAGCACACAACCGGTTTCTGATTGGAATCCAATCAACCAGAGCAGCTTCAGGGCAATACCAACACCGGCGTGGCCGGTGCTGGAAGCTGCATCGTCACCGGATAGGCGCAATGAGGAAGTGCTGCTGGTGTCACCTGAAGAGTATCGCAAAGTGGGCACTGAGCTCGAGTCTTGCAGGCGGCTCTCCGAGAAGCAGCAGATATCGATCGAGAGGGTCTCTGATGTTCGGGCAAGTGCTGCCTGTTGACCAATCTGTAGCAATGTGCGTACATTGAGGCATGCTAATCTGAAGGCTGATCGAGGGCTCTAAATAGAAGCCGAAGTACTGGGATGGACCACTTGCTTGGGCATGGGCTTGTCGACAGGGCAGGAATGACGCAGCACGTTCACATGTGCGTTGAAACTAAAAGGTAAAAGCCTATCAAAACGAGGTGAGGGAGGTCCAAGAATTGGGGGTTGAAAACAGGGGGGATAAAGTGAAGCTGGAACAGCACGGTAAGAGGGGAAAGAAGAAGATGGGTAGGCTTGAGCAATAACATACAAACCCCTATCTACCCTGCTCGATGCAGCGGATACGGCACCGTTTATTATACTCTGCGGTGGTCATGGCATCAATAAATTTTGTGGATTTTTGTGAGTAGTGCAATGTTCGTAAAAGTCACAACTAAACTGCACACAATAATCTGCCTCGACGGGGAATCGAACCCCGGTCCAACGAAGTACCGGTTCGCTGCTCTACCACTGAGATACCGAGGGCTGACGATCAGGTGCGCAATTTAGTACATGACTTCTGCTTGGTGCGCGACATATTGCCAATGAGCTCACAGTATCTGTCCTGGTGTTGCAGATTGGCTCACGCACTCGTCACTTCCAAATGAACCGAAATATCTGTCCTTCTGATGTCCAAAGGGCGATGGTAGATTACTTGATGGAGTTTCGTGAGTAGTGCAATGTTCGTAGAAAGTAATGCGTTGGACCGGGGTTCGATTCCCCGTCGAGGCAGATTATCGTGTGCAGTTTAATTGTAACATCAAGAAATTGTTTGACGGGTCTGCGCAACTTGCCACTGAAATATGGGTTGACAGATGGCTCCCTGGGGAGAATAAAAACGTCATGGACGGCACTCTGCTGAAAGGGCTAATGCTGAGATAGGACTGCGACATTCTTATTTTTAGGCGTGTATGTAGCGAAAGATCTGTGCACAGTAAGCAGAACGCAGTACGCCATCTCATCCAGCCCGAAGTTAAGGCGAGGCACTGCACTTGATACAACGTGCTTACATTGGAGAGATAGGTGTTATGTATCGGTGGTTAAGGTCCAGATGCTCGCGATGACGTCTACTTTGGTTGCTTGAGTGGTTCGTGTTCTCTGAACGCTGCACCACTAGCAGTTAACGGACGAATCAAGATGCACGGCATACATTGGCACAAGTTAGGCGCTGAAGTGAATGCAGTCGACCGCATGACCCTTTGAAATGCTTGACAACAAGCGAAATAGCTATTTCGCATCCTGAGATGGATCAATGGTTTACATCCGACGCGCTGTCTTAGCGAGTCTCAAACTGCCTGTCCTCACGCGACGATATGTAAACGACAGCAGTCACTGTGGCCCAGATAAAATTGTATCCCATTTTAATTCAGCACGCGCTAATGCCAAGGTCACCTTAGAATGGAAACACAATGGCACAATGTCTTTTCTAGACGTCCAGATTAGTAGAAGACCAGATGGATTGGTCCAACCGAGGATACATAGGAAATCAACGTGGAATAGACAATATATACATTTGCCAGCTCTGTCCCAATAAATTAGAAAGGCAACTTGGTTAGGTGTCTAACCGAAAGAGCTAGAAGGATATGTAGTGAGGACACGCTTTCAGACGAGCTGAGTTTCTTAAGTGGTCTATGGGATAAATGACTATCCGGAAAAGGTTTTTCGGAAAATTAAAGAGTGCAGAGAAGTCAGAGCTAAACCAAATTCCGAAGAAAAGAAACCGGTGTATTTGTCCTTCCTGTCCAAGGGGGATGGAATAGCGCAGACAACGTCTAAAAGGTTATCCATCGATGTGTACCATACCTACTACGCAGTAAACTTACTGCTAAGCTTTCTTTCGACGCTAATCGTGAGGCATCAACCCAAAGAGGAACTTCTTTGGTCGAGTGCTTCGTACTGTGTATTTCTTCTCTCGTTCTTGTCGAGCAATATACTTCGGAAAAACCTCAAACAGGCTGTCTGAGTAATACCCAGCTAGCTACGCAATGGTGGGAGGAAAATAATGATGAGTGACCTGTTAGCACATTTGGTTGATTCCAAGCACCAAATCGACACCTGGCAATCTTTCAAACATACTTACCGTGTACCTGAATGCCATTCACGAGCGGTAAAATGTCGCTTACTAGCAACAGCCGAGGTGATTGCTATCCGCCACCGGAACCCAGACTTATGTGCTCAATAACGGTTCGTCCATATTCTATTTTTACCCTGGCCCACAGTCATAATGATCCATGTTGAGGAACACGCTGCTGACAACTCATCGACCATCTAGCATTTTCATCCCGATAATCTTGAACTTTGAACTTCACCATTAGCTGAGGTTTTAGGTAATGTTATTCCTATCAGTTGTGGTATTTTACCCTCACGAGAGCCACCGAAAACGAGTTTGTTCGTTAAGTCATGTTTCTGATGTCCACGCCTGGGATAATTTTTCACTTGAAGATTAAAATTTGTTTCACCAATCCACATCGCTCGTCTTTCTTTGACCTCCGACTTCATCAGTGCAGACATAAGATTTTCGGGAGCCGTCAGCAGTGCGCATTCCATCTGATACTTGTAGGGTTCGGACCCGCAACTCGACTGTTGCCAGTCGGTGGTTAAGACCATTGAGCCACGATTCCGAAAGGATGAAACGGTCGTAGAGTGCTTCTCCTTGCGTGTGATAACCATCTAAGTGAGTCTAGAGGTGATGAATTCCAAGTTTTACCATTCAACTCCCCCTACTGGCTGATATATTTATGGCGAAATTGGAACATGGCCCACTTGCAACGCACATCCGTGAAACCGAAATGTACGTACGATATATGGATGACACCTTCGTACTTTGCAAATCCGACAAGCATGCGGAACAGTTGCTGAAAGCTTTCAATGACGCACACGAGAATCTCCATTTCACTTGTGAACACGAACTCGGAAACCGGTTACCTTTCTTGGATGTAGAAGTTATCCGTAACTCGGACGGATCATGCAGCAGAAAGGAAAACAGAAAGCACACATGGACTGGGTAGTACACTAACTTCCACAGCGCAGTACCACTACAGCACAAGCGGAGTTTAATCAGATCTCTCGCCTTCATGGCGCGCAGTATTTGTACACCGGATACCGTCAACGAAGAACTACAGAGAATCAGCGATGCCCTCAGAGAAAATGGGTATCCTGATAAATTTATCATGAAACATTTGAAGGAACGCAATCGAAAGCCACCTAGGAGCATTGCTCCTAAGAAAGAGCTTTTCATACATATACCCTTTAAGGGTGATTCCGCAGCTGATATGTTATCCAGACGCCTGAAAGATGCTGTAGAGAAAACTTATTTCGCGGCCCGCCTGAGAATCGTTTTTCACAATAATCCGTTGCTTACAAAACCCTTGAAGGATAGACTATCGCCGTTGACCCGTTCAACGATCATTTATCAGTACTCGTGCTCCTGTGGTGCACGATACGTGGGTCGCATGACGAGACGCCTATCTCAGAGGGTTCGTGAACACATTTCCGTTATGGTTTTACAAAGGCGAAATGAGGTCTTCAGACAGCTCTATCATGTCGCACCTCCTTGAATGTGGCCATACAGCTTCAGAGAATGACTTCAAAGTCATTTACTCATTACCTGAACACTTCTCCCAAGGATTCCGCAAACAACTCTTATCCATCGCCGAGGCTATGTACATTCACCATCTGAAGCCGGAATTATGTGTCCAAAAACGATTTATACGGCCGAAACTACTACCTTGACCAACGGACACCGTTACTTAGTTATTTGGTTGTTACCTTACCTACTTAATTACATTGCACTACTGAGCCTTGTGTATACATGTTTATTTAGTTTACTTGGTCTACCATCTCTATCTCTGTCTCAAGTCATCGATTTTGGTCATTCAAACAGTCCAGAAGTCAATCCCAGTCCCAGTTGACGCTATCTCCACAATCACTGTTATGTAAACGTTTGGGTCCGATGAGATTTACCGAAAAGAATTCTTCACCCTGAAATGATTTCTGATATTGATTCATATTAATGAAATGGGAATCTTTGCTTTGCTGTAGATCAGCATTGCCCGTGATTCATTGAAATAGGTGGTTCTTCGCCTTTTGTTCCCCCATGTGTTCGCGGATTTCTTTAGCCTACCGTCCAAATGTTGCACTATTGCGCTCACTTCAAGCACGAACTCAGCTTTCAACCGCTAGCGAAGTGTTTGGAGAATGACCGTGGGTTCTGACCATACACATTCTATCAGGCAAAAGAGGTGGCTTCCTACCAGAGGTCTTCGTCGTCCCCCACCATGCCTCCCTCTTTGTTCGACTGATTCCAGTCTTCATAACCAACTGCGGTCGGTTTTCGGTCTGACGTTTAGTATAGATGCAAGTAGCTTCAAGTTGTTTCCCTCCTCATAAGTCTTCAGTCATCGGTTTTTGATCTCCGCGGGTGCTTTGTGTGCCAATAAGAGTACAGCAGGTTGAAGGTCACCCAGTTGCTTTAGATATATACTTGTGTACGCAAGCTTCGTAATGTAGGACCGCAATGAACATGCAAACTACTGATAACTCTTCTCCCAGATCATTCACGATTGGTCAGTTCAGAACATTCCGGAGTTCAACGCAGTCAAACGTCGAGTACTGGGCATACGCAATCAGAGAACTTACGCATACTAGCTAAGAGAACACCTTTTGCAACGCGTCTTGAATGAAATTGGCCCTGGAGTGCTCATGCAGGCCGACCTCGGTTGTTGAAAACAGGCAGAAAAAGTCGCCAGAAAAGCCAACCAGCAATCGGGTCTCTTGCGGACAACGATTGGTCGGTTTGACCCTACCATCTTTCCACAAATGTTCAACACTTACGTAAGGTCGCATGTTGAATACACACCATACAGGTTTGGCAACCGTAGCGAAAATATGATCTTGCTGCTCTTGAGAATCCACAAAGAAGGGCAACAACAAATGGTAAGGGCCTGACTCATCCCACTTACGGGCACAGACTACAGATCTTAGGAGGTTTCGGTGGTCAATACCGCCGCCTGAGCCGTGGTCCTATTTTGGTGTTTTAGATCCTAAAGGATCCCAAGCACTGATGCCGACAATTGTTGAAACGAAATCACAATTCCTCACTTCGAGACCATCACTTGAAGTTAGCGACACAGTACAGCCAGCTGGAATGCTGCCGACATATTTTCGTATTTCGTGTGTCCCATTGGTGTAACGTCCTCCCAATTCCAGTCATCCCCTCTTCGACATTGAGTGAACTAAGAATTCCATTTGACGAAACCTCACACCATATGCACTACAAGACTTAACAAATGTTACTGTGGCACATCACGACATAAGCAAATTAAGTACACCAGGGAAAATTCGGTGAGTTCACCGGTATCCGCGACTTTTGTATTGGCTGATACATTCACATTCTGTCTTCACTTATAGAAATGATCAACAACTTATAGTCTGATGAAATTGAGCAGAGTAATTGTGAGCACACCTGGAATAATGGAAAACATCTAACACCCTAAAACAAATACTCACTTAAATGCGTTGATTCAATGTGCCTTCTTAACACATTCCTCAGAGAAAAGCATCTGTCACAATGCTCGCATCTGTGGGGCTTCTTCTCTGCAATAGTAAATATAGCTATGTTAACAACAGTAAAAAAACCAAGAATGGGAGACGATCTAAACGAATTGCACGCGAATCGATTGATAACCAGGGCGAAATGCTGAAAATTGCAATCCCACTATGAAGTCAGAGTAGTTGCGTCAATTAAGCGATTGTTCGGATGCATCTGATGGCGTTCTGGTGACCAAGACAAAAAAACAAGGTTGTGCGGTGAACCCGACTGCGAGAAGAGCGCACCTGGTTACAAACCACAGAACTTCAGATGGCTCAAAAGTGAACCAACTGTGATGCACGTGGAGAGTTATGCATAGGGAGGTAATATGGCGTTATGTCCCTGTTTAGAGCTTTCTAAACACTGTGTTTCTCGGAATCGCACTTTCTATCTGACCTACATTCCGTTGGCGCCACGTCAACGCAACACATACAGACGTCAAAACAGTATTCGTCTCCGTTAACACGCCAGTGCTCCCAAGCACGTGACAAGCGTAGGCGACTGAGGAAGAACTACACGTTTTCTGATTGATTGCATCAATAGTGCAATTTAATTGCTCCCACGGACCTAATTTGCATCTGCAAGCCAATTGAATATAGTCCTTAACGCGCTTGAATTGCATCCGGTATCTGGCCGACGCACCATGCGCGCGCAGCGTCCTTAGAATTGAGTCAGCCCAAATCAGCCAATGAAGGTAGATGTAATAACCCCTACATAGATGTAAGAGTTGGTGGTGTGTGGTGGAGACGCGTGGGCATTCTAGCCTCTATTCAGCAACGACCGCCTACTCTAAAGCCAGTTCCACGCAGCTTAGGGGCACAACGTTGTCCAAAACACGTGGTGCAACTGGTGGAGGGTTCAGGGGCCCACCATGTACGTAAAGGCATGCCTTGCCAACGACAACAGGGGGGGGGCTGCGAACACTGTACTGAGACACCCTATCAACGATCTTATGGCTAGTTTGGCACTGGCGCAGCCCAAGATTTTGAGCGACCTACTAACGCTCGGGCACAAGACTGCAATGCGTCTTGCTAACAGGACAGTCACAGGTACACGGCTGCGAATGATCGGGAGCGGTGGTGCTAAAGCCTTATGATTGGCTTGCGAGTAAAGCGACAAAAGTGGCCTGAACAACCGAAATACATGTTAAAAAGTGGTCGACCTGGATTACAGAAAGCCGTCTTAAGCCGCGGTCTGCTGAGATGGCTAATGCCGAAATACGACCGCGGCAATTTTGCTACAAGGCAAGTAGTTATCGAGTAGTTATTTCGTTGCGTCTGAGCGGCCAGACGTAGTGGGACTCGCAGAGACATGGCTGCATGCAGAGTTATACACCCAAGAACTTGAACTCAACGGTTACTCGTGTTTCCGATGCGATAGACTAAAGAATGCCCACGGCGGTGTCTTACTTTACATCCGGTCCTCCCTGCGTGGGAGACTTGTGAGCACCTACCGAAGTGACGATGGCCTGTGTGAGCTACTGTGGTGCTCCATCCGTCTCAGGCGCGGAGAACTGCTTGTAGGCGCAGTTTATCGCAGTCCCCTGAGTCGTTGTTTGGATTGGCTGCCCCATCTTCAAGCCCACATGAGTCGTCCACACTTTCTGCTTATGGGCGATTTTAACTGTCCTCGAATACGATGGCCTGATGTGCATTTGATGCCTGGACATAGTGAGGTTGAAGCAAAGTTCGTGGATTTGGTACTTGAAACTGGTGCATCGCAACACATATGCCAGCCAACACGCATATCAACACGTTCAACCTCGTCCTGTCTCGACCTGATGTTAACGAGCTACGAACAACGAGTGCATGACGTTAGGATTCTGGAGCCCCTGGCTACGAGCGACCACTCAGTACTGATAGCTGATATGGAATTATCTTTGCCGTATTCACATCCGCTGCAACCAGCTCCCAACTACTGGAAAACGGACTTCGATGGTCTAGCACGAGTCGCGAGCCAACTGGATTGGTCTCTGTCACAAGCTGCATCTGTGGAAGATTGTTGGATATTTATAAAACAGAGATTGACATCATTGTGTTCCCAATTTGTGCCATTGAAATGTCGAAAGGTTGGACCCATTAAGCCTCATTGGTTTGATAAGGAGTATGGAAACCTGGCTCGGAGGCGTCGCAGACTGTGGGACAAATTCCTTCTCTCTGGCTCTGCCAATGATTACGAAGGGTATAAATGTCAGCGGAACCTCTGCAACAGTGCGAAAAAGAACAAACGCCGACACTTTGAAGTGCAGCTCGCATTAGCCGCGAAGACCGCCCCAAAGAGAATCTTTGCATACGTGAAGCGACGCCTGAAGCCGGCAGGTGATGTGCCAGTGTTGGATGGCACGGATGGACAGCCCCTAACCTCCAGCATTGAGCGTGCGTCCGCGTTGGCGGCGCACTTCGCTTCTGTATTTGCGAATAACCAGGTGTCTGTTCCGAGTTCGAGGTGTATCGCTTTTACCGAACTCGATAGTCTGCAATGCGGCGTTGAAGAGGTAGCTCAACTACTCGCCAACCTTGACGGCACCAAACCTGCCGGACCTGATGGGCTTCACCCACTGGTTCTCAAGTCACTTTCAACCATCCTCTCTACTGTCGTGACTGACCTTTTCAACAGGTCGCTGTCCGATGGTTCGTTGCCGGTTGACTGGAAATGTGCGGTGGTGAAGCCTATTCCGAAAGGCGGCGACCTTAGCAAAGTAGACAATTACAGGCCAATTTGTCTGACATTTATTTTGGCAAAGGTTGCTGAGAAAATCGTGAAGAAGAGATTGCTGCAGTTGCTACAGTCAAAAGAGGCCCTGACGCCCGCACAGTACGGTTGTATGCAAGGTCGCTCATGCATTACGAACCTGCTTGTGACGAGGCATGAGTGGTTTAAGGCAGTAAACAAGGGGAAGTCCGTCGACGTGATATTCATCGATTTCAGTAAAGCGTTCGACAAGGTCAGCCATGAGGTTCTCCTTCACAAACTCAGCATGTGTGGTGTCGGTGGCTCTCTGCACCGGTGGATCAGCGACTTTCTTGTTGGACGAAAGTGGAGAGTACAGGTCGACGACCATCTAACTGACTGGTACCCCTCTACAAGTGGCGTGCCTCAAGGCACTGTGCTAGGGCCCACTCTGTTCCTGATCCACATCAATGATCTACCGCAACTTCTCCGGTCGCCGTGTGCCTTGTTTGCGGACGACATGAAGATTTGGAGAGAAATCGACGCTCCCGATGACTGTGGCCTACTTCAGCAAGATCTCAACCGCTTATCCACATGGTCTGCAGAAGTTCTTCTCCCGGTCAACCCAGCCAAGTCCGTATTTATGAGCCTGGGGAAGGGCGCAAACGGCCGAACCTACACTCTTGACGGCCAAACGCTATATCCCACACCCTCCGTGAAGGACCTAGGTGTACTCTCACGCTACGATTTGAAGTCCGTGGACAACACGAACAGGTTATATCGGAACGGACTGCGCATGCTCTGGGCGCTCAAACCTAGCTTCGGAACATGATCTGAAGAGGTTGCCACTCGCCTGTTCTCTTCTATCATTAGACCAATGCTAGAGTACGGTTCGCCCGCCTACTTTCCGATTACCCGAGGCTAGGCACAAAAGATCGAACGGGTCCAACACGTTGCTACCAGGCTCATCACGAGTTTACGTGGCTTTGGGTATGAAGACCGGTGCGAGAAACTAGGGCTCTACACTTTATCCTACCGTCGGGTGCGAGTCGACCTCATTATGACCTACCGAATTCTACATCTTGGTGAGTTCCCCATGCTAAGGCCAATACTGCACTTACGAGGACCATGCAGCACACGCGGACACAGATAGAAACTTGTCGTGCCGGATATGAAATGTGTTCCCCACCCACTGTGCTTCGAAAGGAGAGTGGTAAACATTTGGAACAGTTTGCCCGAACATGTGATTGAGGCAACATCTGTGCAGCAGTTCAAAACGTTGTTAGATTTGTATTTTGCCTCTATTCGCTTCAGAGAACGACTGCACACTTACGATGACATATCACATTTGTGAATCCTGAAATATCGTAAGTCGAGTATTTTAAATCTTACATGAGAACGATAATGATATTCACGGTTGACAATTTTATAACGCTTTCTCGCCATATTTCGAAAGAGTTGTACAGAATCCATTTCTACTTGCTCTATAATACAGTATTCAGTATCAGTATACACGTTAGCTAGAGGTAGGAAACACCTCACCTACTGTGCCGAAATACATAAAAGAAAAAGGGGAAGAGTGCACCAGGTGCAAGCCAGCTGAGCTATCAATAACGGATGGGCATCATTCTGGTAACCTACGCGCCGGCTACTATGCAGCAGAAATAGAATAATAATTTCTTATGCAAAATAATAAAATGCTAAGTAATGAGATCGTGGTTGGAGGAGGAGGCTAAGAGGGATGGGGTGGGACAAAGAAACTCACAGTATGAATGCCACTGAGGTCGGCTCCTAGCCATATCAACAAGTGTATCCAGCCAAACGTGTTCATCGTCTTTCAGACCTCAACCAGGGAGCCTAGACGCTCCAACCGAGGCCATTTCAAAGTGAAGGTATTCATTCCTCTCGACAAATTCATGGCTTAGACACTCCTACTCCTATCCCATTAACACCGCAGGCGAGTAAACAAAGCACTTCGCGGGAGTCGGTGGGCTGGCATGCGTACCACATGGCCGAGCCATCGGAGCCTGGTGCGTGAAATAACGGTGCTGAGCGGTTCATTTCCTTTTCCTGTGCCGTAAACAAGGCGACGAACACACCCGTTCACCACTCGGTGTTCCCACCAGATGTGAGCTAAAGTGCGAAGGCACCGGTGGTCGTACGTATCTAGCCTCTTTAGGTCCGTCGATCTAAGGGGTCAGGCTTCACAACCGTACAGTAGGTTCGAACGTACCGTTGCATTGTACACTCTACCATTCAGGGCGAGAGTGAGGTTGCGCCGGCGCCATAAATGGCGAAGGCTAGCAAAAGCGTCTCAAGCTTTCGCTATACGGTTCGTGATCTCAGCTTCAATCCCATGGGCGCTGATACAACGTCCCAAGTAGCTGAATTTCCGAACGACTTCTAGCTGATCCCCAACAACGGTCAGCGTAGGAGGCGGTCCAGGCCAATCCTGGAGACACGCTTTGCACTTCGATGGTGAAAAGCAAAGCCCGAAGCAACTACCAGCCAGTGCTAATCTGTCCAGTGCCGATTGGCACGTTTGTGAGCTGTCACAGATTAGGGCAATATCGTCAGCATACTCCAAGTCAAGAAATCGTCCTCCTGGGACTAGATCCACATCTTCTAAGTCGTGTGCGGTGAATGCGATTTCCATGACTTCGCCAATAGCGAAGTTGAAGAAGAAAGGTGACAGCGTGCATCCTTGTCTCACACCGCTGGAGATATTAAAGGGCGACGATAGCTTGCTGTAAGCCCTAACTCTGCCTAAGCAACGCGCGTATAATGATCGGATAATATTTACATATTTCTCAGGTACACCTTTCCTGAGTAGACAATCCCAGAGTCCAAGTCTATACACCGAATCGAATGCACCTTTGATAGAGAGGAACACGACAACGGTGGGCCGCCAATATATTGGACATGGCTTTATAACAACTGACGCAAAGCGAAGATGTGGTCAATGCAGCCACGACATCGACGAAACCCGACTTGCTCTTCACAAATGCTAGTCAGTCTGTGAAGGATGACAGAGGCAAGCAATATGGAGGCGATGGAGATCAGACTGATTCCTCTATGGTTGCCGCATTCCGATCGTGAGCCTACCTTGAAAATTGGGACTATGACGGAGCGGCTCCAGTCGGCTGGGCTAATTTCCTGCTCCCAGAGATCCACTAGTAAGTCGTATAAATCATTCACAAGAACAGATCAACCGAAATTGAAGAGGGCTAGAGGAAGATCATCTGATCCCGCGGCTTTATTTAACTTCAACAGTGCGATCTCATGTTCGACTTCCGAGCCAGAGGGTGGATCCAAATGGACAGCCCAAAGAGCTAAGTAATCAGTGTCCAGCGAGAAATGTAACAATTCCGACCGATTAAATTGCCTTTCAAAGTGCCCAGCCCAACGCTCCAAGCGTTTTGACAAGTTGTGAATAGGTTGCCCACTTTTGTCACGTATAGTTTCACTAACACCAGGTCTTCTGCTGCCCGTTTCCCGCCAAAACACATCCGTAGGTCAGCACATGATCGGTGTCCACACCTCTGCTCCAAATCGACCGACAGCTCTGGACGCAGCCTCTCCATTGGTAACTTATCGCAATGTGATCGATTTGCGTCCATAGCTGGTTCGAGGCTCGCGGGCGCCAAGTAACCCTCCGGAGGGTGCTGTGTCGGAAAGTACATCTCGCAAGAAATAAGCGAGCATCATCACGCAAATGAAGTAACCGATCACCGTTATCATTACGGGAGCCTACACCATGTTGGCCATAGAGATGCAGTTCATCAGTGCATAATTTTCCAAATTGAGCGGTCAGATCCCAAGCCAGAACCACAGTGCCCGACCTTCTTCTGTGGTGAAGGAGCACGTTCAAATGGCACGATAGAGTGAAACCGAACGGCGACTGACAAGCACCTCGGCCACAGCTAGGTAACAACAATTGTGATGCCCATCTGTTACGGGAGCCCAAAGCTAGCTCTCTCCCTTTCTCTGAATCAGCCCGGAGAAGATTAGTCGTATGCCGCCTGTAGCTGAGTGGCTAGCCAATGAGAGAAAGCTAATGGCATCGTTTTACCTTGAAGTGGACTAATGAGAATGACCTGCCAAGAGGTCCTACAGTAAGCGCACTACTTGAACAGCAAACAAGCAAGTTTTCGCGCATCTAGTAGTTGCTATGGTCAAGAACTATCATTTAGATCATTCTCTCATGAACCATTTAGTTTGACCCAATGTTTCGGCTGTACATTGTCTTCCGGGTGCTCCATGCAATTCCCGCCCGAGGCCTTTGTCTTCTGATTTAGAAAGTAGCTGCATTGTGATCCGAGTGGCTGTTCCGGTTATCCGTACTGTCAACGGAAACACAACAGGTTTGGCGATGGAAGTAAAGTTCTGAAAGCTGTTTTGCATTAACAACATCCGCAATTTGAGGTCGCACTGCTGCGAATGATCGAGACCCCCAACTCGAACACTATCACTCAAGTCAAAAACCTTCAGTTGAAGCAATAATCAACAGTGTCAATGAGTTTGCATTTGATCCCGCTTCAGGGCTGATTTCCAACGCATAGTTCAGACGCTACGAAGATACCTTCAGGACGGAGTTGGCAAATCTTGATGATGAGTAAAAAGTACGGCTACTGGTACGTAAACTCGGAACTATGGAGCACGACAGATACATCAAGTACATTTTGGCCAAGAGTGTTCAAGATTTCAGCTTCGATGAGACAATGTCCAGACTGACAGAGATGTACGGCGATCAGGCATCGCTTTTCAACAATCGGCACAACTGCCTGAAGCTGTGCAAGAGGGACTGCGACAGTCTCATTGCTCATGCAGCAACAGTGAAGCGACAGTGCCAGAAATCCAAGCTGAAATCACTTACTCCAGATCAATCTGAGGGTCCGATACTGGTATGCAACCTACAATCACCCAAGGATGTCGACATCCGCAGCAGAATACTCAGGCTGTTGGAGCGGATGTCACAATGCAAGCTGTCATTGCCGAGGCCTACAGAATCATCAAATTAAAACACGATACAGCTATGATCGAAGACACGAAGGGGCATTCCAATGACTTCGCAGTTCAACAGATTTCGCGGAACAAGTTTCCAGCCACTGGTCGCAAGAAGGCCCCTCAAATGCAAACCAACAACAGCATGTTGACAATGCGGAGACTGGCAATGGTTAGATGGTGTCCATTCAACAAGCATATCTGTCAGAGATGTCGTAGACGTAGACACAAAGAAACTCATTGTAGATTCAACCCATATTTCAGACCGGTTCATGATACCCGAAAGAAAATCTACAGTCGTTTCGCGAAAATAGTGAACGCCAATTTTATCGACTAATGTTAGAGATCGTAGAAAGTACATCAACATAAACATCAATGGAAGACAGGCGCGCTTGCAGATCGATACGGTCAAAGACTTTACGGCCACATCAGAAAGGCTGTGGAGGATTGTCGGGTAGCCAGATTTCAAATCAACCAGACAACAAGTGAAAAATGCATCAGGTGCCGAGTTGAAACTGCTTAGTCAAGTCGAGTGTGAGTGTCGTTATGCCGACTTTACCGCATGGGGAACGACTTTTGTCACGTATCGTCTGGCTCTGGACTGGATCGAGCGTTTCAACCTACTTGATGTTCCGATCAACCAGATTTGTGCAAATATCCAGATACACAAGTCAACAGCCCTAAAAGTGTAGAAATCGAGCGCCTATGGGATAAACATGCAGGCAGGGGAAGCACGAAAATCTCAGCAGCGTTAGAAGTCACGATTCAACAACCCCACTGTTACTGGGGCCTAAACGAAAACATAGATAACTGCATTAGGCCCTGTCTCATCTCGCCATCGTCACAGAATAGACAACTGACTTACACAACTCAGTAGCCTGTGGCTGCAAGATTAAAGTGCACACCGAAAGGGGCTGACCATCGCTATTCCCTGCGCTTCTCATCAAATGCAACAAACCCATGAAATTAACAATGAGTTGCTGTTAAGTACAAACAACATTGGATACAAAGTCGTACATGCAGGGTGTGCTATTGGAAGGAATCATAGACGGACGGTGTAGAACTTACTCAAGTGAACAGCTTCTACGTGTACCCGAAGGTTGAACCTTACGGAAAATGATTTCCCACAGTATTCACATGTGTGTGCTTTCTGCTCTGAAACAAAAAAACAGGTCATTCAGAGTCAGGAACAAAATCAAGGAATGAACTATTTCATGAGGTTTCGACGTTAAACCGTTAACGACAGGGTGAATATCTGTCTAAAACTCCCAGGTTATCTCGCACTGACCAATGCACGTATGAAGCGGTAAACAAACCTGCATTACATCAAAGCAGCGACTGAAAGTCAACTAGTCTCCACTGCTCGGTACCCAAGTGTACGCGTGTCTACGCCCAAACTAGATGCACAACAAAGTCCCGGCAGTGCAAGGCGACATGTGGTTAATGGAAGTGAGGTTCCCCGTTGAAGAGCTGAGATATTAAAACATCAGCGCTTCAGCATGAATTTTTCCGCTCGTTCAACTGTCCAATTAGGAACGATCAATCTTAATTCGTGCTGATGAAGACAGAACAGATCAAACACCGTTGCATCCACCAGTAAACAACAATCACGATGTTCTCGGATATTCAAGCCGCTCTCAATTCATTACACAAAAATGCTCGGTGTAATGGCATGCATGACCGATTTACATGATAAGTTTGTCGTAATGTAGAGGGAAATGTATCGTCACATGATCGGTAAAGTTATAGCCGGTTGGGATGGTTTCTTCGCCTGCTTTTGCCAGCACTGTACGTCAACGTTGTCTTAGCTCACCACACCCAGTAAGCATTGCCATTGTGGATGTACTCCACCCAGCGATGAAAGATGCAGAGACCCGTGACGTACAGCTTCTCCCAAGAGAAAAAGGCATGGACTTTAATTATTCTGATGACATCGCCATTTTTGAGTGATCTGCAGACTATAGAAAATATTTTTGAACATCTTACGTATAAAGGAAACGATACATGGTCCGAAGTTTAACCGAAATAAGGACAATGTCCTGTTTCGGAAATTGCTAGTACCTGTGCCTGCATTCACTGAAGTAGGCGAATAATTTGAGTAAGTTAATAGATTTGCTTATCCAGTGAGTTGCAGGGCAGATGGTGCTGGAGAGGAAATTCCACGCATTGTTAAACTCACATTAAACTGAGTCATTGGAGTCGTCGAGTTACCAGATACTTCACAGGCGCCATATTAGAGGAGGTAGTTTATGGTGTGTCAAAAGATTTGAAACGATTGCCAGTTTCAGACAACCGTTTTTATGCAAAAGAGTGATTGTGTGTGACGGCAATATCACATAAACAACACTGAGCACCGTATTACGGGAGCAAGCAGAAGATAACCCTGCACCACTCCGTCGAGATGTGATCAAAAGTATGTGTACAAGAACTAGCTACAAAATAAATAAAAAGAAATTGGTAATTCCCAATAGTGCGAGATATGTTTGCATATGCAAGATCGCGATAGTACAAAAATTGGAAAATGTAACAAGTTAACTAGTTGCAAAGTGAGTTTATGTGCATATGGTATGTAGGTTTAGGCAGACATGTTGGATAAAGTCTTTAATGTAACGCTACATGTGTGCTTGTATTTGATTTGGTTGACAGTGCAAGAATGGATCACATGAACCCTTTGAAGCCGAAAAATGACGTTTGTGGAGGAGCCGCAGGGTCTCTTGATGGGCAAGAGACTTGAGTATCTGTAGCGATCGCGGCTACCTTGCCCAAATACGTGTCAAACACCTCGACCGGCCGTTGTTCGCTCCCTATCGGAATTCGCCACCGGCACACTCAAACAAATAACAATGAACCATCGGACAGTGACCTGTTGAACAGGTCAGCCACGACAGGAGAGATCATGGCCGGTCATGTCTTGTGAATCAGCAGATTAAGCTCATCAAACCAACAGACTTAGTGTCGTCAAAGTTGGCGAGCAACTGATGCACACATTTAGCAAGGTAGTTCAGACTTCCGATTTCGGCAGAGACGATGTAAGCTGAGATCGAAGCGGACGCTTTCATAATACGGTCACAAGCTGCGCAGTCCACTCGGAACGCGAAGACTCCGCCTTACTGTCACTGCTGTTATCTGCCGTCTCGAATTCCACAGACACCAACTGGGCACTCCTCAGTGACAATGATTATTACGAGAACTCACTAGTTCTGTTCAGTCGGACAACTATGATTCGAACACTGAAGTCCCGAGGATCAAGTTGCCACGACTCACATCGAAAGAAAAACAATAAACAACACTGAGAAAACAGTAGGATCGGATGCAAATAGAATGTCGAGAAAATGGAGGCAAAAAGGAAATGAATTAAATTGATCAGAACAGAATGAAAAGTAACAACCAGATGCAAAAAACCGATGCAGGAACGCTACTGACTGCATGGCTGATCCATATATGATACGGTCTACAACAATTGGTGTAGACCGTCCGGAGACCCCAAACGACGAAGACGGCACGCACCAGCCTGACCGAATCTCGCAGTCAGTTCCTTCATACCTCCATGTCACGTGATGGAGTGGTCACTTCGCTGTTTCGCCAAACTTGGTGCAGCACCGGAGCATAATGCACGCTGAGGAAGCCGGTCAACCGACATTTGGAGCGCACGGCCTAGCCAATGTAAGTGATTAAGATTCAGCAAACACTCGAATAAAGAACCAGAAGGTTTTTTGCTAAAAAAAACAACCGGCGGACCTGAGCATCGCACACTCGGTGTATCAACCAGACGTGCGTTCGTAGATTTCTGAAACCGGAATTGCGTCGGTACAGTCCTGCAACAGTCTTTTGCACTTTGAATGTGCAAAACACAGGCTGAAGCGTGCAACTCTAGGCGACAGTCGATCCTATGGTGTTTACATAGCCATTGCATTAGACCCAAGGAGAACTATGTCGTCCGCATACCCTAGGTTTGTCAGTCGGTCACTTGATGGAACTTCCATTCCGATAGATTTTGCAAGAACGGAGTCACCTAAGATCATTTCGATAACAAAAGGAAAGAAGATATAGGACAATCCTGGCGAACGCTACTTGTCGTGTGGAACTCAGGAGAAACGTACAGTTAAGCACTGCTCGAGGGAATCAATGGGCTAGTGATCATGCTATAGCTGCCAAGCACTATGCACCGAGTTTCAGTCCCAGCTCCGCTATCTCTACCTGATGAGTCCAGACCAGGACGAAACCGTCGGTCGTGAAGTGCAGGGATGGCAGAGAACCACACCGAATCCCTCCAACTCAGGAGACAGTTCCCCGTACATAGTTACACGGCCTAGGGAGACACGGTAAAGAGATGGCAAGGATGGAAATAGATCATCAGGTCCAAAAGCCGTTTAAAAACGGAAAATTTATGTCGAATGTCTTCCAAAGTCAGAGGTATCATATCAACTTCCCACCTGGACTCCGATGATTCGACAAGCGGCAGTGTCGCAGCAGGCTTGTGGAACTGTCCTTTAAAAATAATACGCACAACGGGCTGGTCGACGAGGTTGAGAACGGATCAACCGACCATCTTTCTCAGCTATTGTTCCACTAACTGATGGCTTTCTCTGAGGCCTTTTCCAAAAGAGGAGGAACGGCACTCGACTGTTTGCAATAGCACTGGCTTTTTCCATCTCATATGCACTTGCCACTAATCAACATTCCCGGTCGATCCGAAGACTTTGTTAGAAGCCGTTTCAGAGTTACGGCACGCTGGAACTTAGTGCTCACCGGAAAGTGTTACCGTGCTTCGATTAAACTGATGACACATTGGAATTCCACTCACAGTTACCAATCTTCAGGTAGGGTGCATAGCAGGCGTCCAAAGCATTCTTCAAGGCACATTTCAGATGATACCAGTCACTGTTCGGCACACCAAACTAATTCATCATTGACAATTTATGGACCAGTTCGTCATGATATTGCTGAACTGCAGACTGCGATTTCAAATTAAAGCTAAGAAGGTTAGAAGATAGGAGCTTCTTTGAAGCGGGAAGAGTGAGCGCCAAGCGAGCACGCACTAGAACATAGTGCGAATCCAAGCAGATGCTCCAAATTTACCGATAGTTTTGAGCTGATGTGCATCATCTGCAGCTGATGGAAATATGATCAATCTGGGCCCAGGTCACTGAGGAATTCGGTGGGGGTCAGGTGATGTGGTGTGAACGGTTGTGCTAGAAAGCAGTGCTGCTAATATAAAGACTGTGGTCGGCGCACAGTTGGAGGATTCGACCACCATCGTCTGCTCGGCGTGCACTGATTCAGAAGCGGACTCCCAAGTGCTGTTCAGAGTCTTACTTAGGCATTAATGTCACCAGTAACAATCAACATGCCAGTATTCTCCGCCATGCGAAGTAGAGATAAGAGTTGTCGATAGAAAACGTCTTCCATACCCACTGAACTGCATTCCGTAGGAGCATAAACTAGGATGATTAAAAAGCATCTTGTCTTCAGATGCTGCTTATTAATTCCAATAGAGGTTCGAAGTAGAACCGCACACATGCGGTTGTTTACTGGCATCCAGACACGCAGACTGTCTTCAGTAAGTTTACTAAAGACGAAAACAAGATGGTGAATTCCTTCAGACAATCAGTATCCGCCAGCATCAGGATCAGCCAATCAGTATCGACGGAGACGCGAAAAGTGTATTCATAGTCGCCGGAATCAAAACCAGGAAGCCGAAGATTTATCACGACGCTGTTATCTTGTATGCGTATTTCGGAAACACAACACACATAAATACCAAGAGAAGGGGAGAGTGAGTCATTGTTAGCTGCTGGCCGATCTGATCCATAGTGCACACGTTAAAAGTACCAATGTGGAATGAAACTCTAGGTTTGATGAAAGAGCTACCACCGATTTTGCATGCCGGTCACTATTAAGTGACTCGGTCGTGGCTGTGCAGGTACTAGACGCGATTACCAGATCGACTTGAATAAGGTAATAATAAAGTGTCAGCTGTACGCTGTAATGACGCTTCGCTGCGGGCTGAGTATACCTCGAGGACGTCCACCCCTACGCGGATTCGAACCCGTGCCGCAAGAATACGAGACAAGGTCGCTACCTATAGGCTACGGGTTACGTAGAGATCATTAAAAGAGGATACAAGCAACGCCCCAGAGGTTGATTGCGTAGGC